TTAATAGATTTTTCAGGAAAAACTGCTACTCAACGGCCTTTTGAGGACGATGATTATCATATTGCAAAAGAAATGCACAATAGTTTTTAGCACCATTAATCTTTTTTTACTTGTAACAGCTTTTTACTTGATCAAATAAACTATTTGGATTCCGAACAAATATTTTTTTAATAAGAAAGTTTTTGTTCTGAGAAGTGTCAGAAATGGAAGTAAAATTTTTAACTAAAAACGTTTCACATTACATGTAAACACACTACAGTGTTTCATTTAATAAGTCTCTGGCATAACTGAGACGGGGGGGGGGGCACTAGTTATGTATTAGCTTGAAAACGTAATAGCTTTTAATGAAAATATAAAATTTTACAATTGTTAGTAATAAATAAACAACGGGAACCGATTGGATTATCCCATCAATGGACTTGATCACTTGTTAACCTTCAATTGAGTAAATATTAGGGAACAAAAGCGTACTGAATCATTAAGTTATAAAAACTTATTTTTTAACTAACATAATAATAAATCTTAATGCCAAAGATTTCGGTGTACTGGATTATTCTGTTTATGGTTCTTGACTACTTATCTAAATTTTATTGTATTTAAGATAAAAATATTGAATTGCATTATATTGTTTCGTTCATAAAAATTATTCAGTAATTAGCTAACATTCCATTTCTTATATTAAAAAAAACTTGAGCGTAGTCAATCATTTTGTTATAGGCACTGATTTATCAAGTAACATAATAAATTGAGATCAAGAAAACTTAGACGTGCAATTTGGACGGACATTCATTATCTCACATTTGGTTTTTTTAAGACAAGAAGATGAAACTCGACTACATTATTTCGTGGAAGGTACTTGCTTGGTTGTTAACGTTTTCCTTTGTTTGAAATCAAAAGATTGGAATCTTCTGGGTCAGTTTGTAATAGGCTCTTGTTTATTTATTAACGTCATAATAAATCAACATTGAGAAGACTTAGGGCTCGTTAATAACATCTTGCAAGGTACTTGTCTATTAATTAATAATTACATTTTTTTTGAATGAAAATACTGAAGCTACTTGTGCCATGAGCGGTTTTGTTAATTTAAAGGAAATGACTTGAGTTAACTAAGTTTTTGAGTTGTAGATGCTTGTTTGTTAGTAACTATTATGAACCACTTATAACGAATGCATATACGCTTACAAGATTATTCGGTTAAAGGTACTAGTTCATTAATTTATACTATCACTAAGTTAAAAAAAAAGAATTGCACCTTTCCATTCTATTTGCCGAAGCTTAGGAAAAATTATTGATCTCTATTTTATGTCGTTCTAAGTTTTAATAAGAATGCAGCTAATATCGTTCTTTTTCTACGGACACTATGTACTCATTTTTTTTTTTCTTTGAAGCCGTCTCGTCATAAAACCTTGATTACTAGTGGGCAGTAGGTGCTAGGGTACTTAAGTATGCATTTAATATCTTATGAAATAATTTGGCAAAGAATACAAATAGAAGTAAAAAAATACCTTCTATTAAACAATTTTGTGTACAAAGATAGTGCAATTGTAGTAAGAATGCGTATACCTACGTTGATTGGAAATGGTTTCAAATAGTATTTTAGTATCTAATACTTACATAATAATAAACAATATATAGCAGCATGATACAGTATAAATTATATACAGACAGGCCAGTCCAAGACTGTCCAGTTTCGTCGAATCTTCCCATGATTCAGAACAATTTCACACTGCCTACGCTGGATTACATCTCTAACGTCACGCACACATGTATCACGTAGGCTTATCCCAATATTTCTAGTCCGTATTGAATACCTAAGATATAATTGTATCTCAAAAATGAAGGAAATATCCTGCAGCGGCATTTTTTCAATACGCTAGTATCACATACCAGTATGAGTCCCTCTAAGACGTTTATCACACATAAGTTCTTTGGACACATATTATTTACATCAACCATATATTTAAAATGTATCAAAAAAACTGCAGATCCTTTTAACTGAACTTTTTTTTGTATAATAAGTTCTGAAAAATTATAATCTACGTAACGTAATGCAAAAATCAAGTAAAACAAAATTGATTTAACATGTAGAAAGCTTCTAAATTTTTAATATAAGAGATTCCTTTTTGTATAAAGCCATAAAACTTTCAAACAGGTTTTTAATTTAGTTTTTGAATATACTTACAAGAAGTTAAGTATGCGTTAAAGTATGTATGTAAGTATATCCACATTAAAAACACCGTGTATGGGTCTCGGGACCCCCAGCAGAAGTGAAATTTTCAACTATTATGTTAATAATCTCGGTATAGTAAAGACTGAGGAAATAAGAGGATACCTAGTTTTAATAAATCTTTAAGAATTCCATATTAAAATAGTGAAAATCTTAATATTATTACATATTTGAGCTTGCGCCTGCATAGAATACATATACCTTAACATATTACTTATTTTGTGATATGCATATTCTAAGAACCTCCATCCGTGGTATGATATGTGTAAAATATATACGAATTGTTGGTGATGTTATGCAAAATAAAGCAAAAATTTCCACTATACTCACTGAAAGACGGTATTTTTGTCTCATTACGTGCGACAAAAATTTCTTTTATGGAGAACTAGTATTCGTGCATTTGATATGGAATGAAATGTGTGAAATAATTGTTTGTTGAAATCTTTGTATCCAACAAATGAAATTTTTTTTTTATTTTAGCTACTATAAAAGTAAAATAATCCACTTTATCTGCTTTAGTTTGAGGAAAATAATGTAGCTGTAGATTAATATTTTATAATAATATATATGTATAAGTAATAAGAAAAGATATATAGCTGTTTGTCATTGTTAAGTATTAATTTGTCATCCAATTCGTTTTCTATGATTATTTATAAATTGATACTTAAATCCAGCCATGCTTGACTAATTTCTACTAATGTCAAAGTTAATGAGAAGGATATAGGTTTGGCCACGTGATAATTCTTACTGTCATACATTATAGAGAACAGGAAATAAATTGATTCAAAGGTAGCATATGAAGGTTGTAGCTTTGCCTTTGAGATACGATTTATTATTCTCACGATTATTACGATTATTTGTAAAAACAAGTTTAACATATTTTTGCACCTCAAAAGTTATTTTCTAAGCACAGAACTATTTTTGGACTATCTAGCTTTCTTTTCGAGACAAGAATGTTTTTTTTTAATTTCAGAAGGTTGTGTTAAAACAAAATTTGTTCAAAGATTTTTTCAACGTCCAAATTACTTTTCCAAACATGCCACACTAAATAAAAAAAATCTTTGACTTGTTCTTCTTAACGTACAGTCAAAAAATCAAGAAATTAGGGTAATGTTTATTCATAGTCGAACCTCTCTCTATTTGGGCACTTTTATCATGTAGTTTCCTTTTAGAAGACTCGTACAAGTTGTTATTTTTTGCCAACTTTGCTTCTCTTTTGAGATACAGCAATTTTTCTAATTTTCAAAAATTAGGTTGTCGTACTGTACATATTTATTATTTTACGTACATTTTTTCACATACATGTATACATACGAAAAGATAAATAGAAAAAAAAAATGATCTTTACTATATTTTTCGAAGACTTCAGAGAGATCCAGCGACGTTTTGTGTCAGACATTATTTACCTGACAGTACCTTTGCTGTGACAGAGGCTTAGTTGAGCCCGTATTACCACCGCGTTACAATTTTTACCATTCTGCAGTAGGTATATCTACGGCTGACACGGTGGCGCAATGGCAGAGTTGCAATCTCGTCGATCTTAAAAGTTAGGCATAGTTAGCTGCTATTGGTAGTTGGATAGGTGACTGCTCGTCTATTAATCTGTTCGCTTGGGCAAGTAATTTTTCTAATCAACTGTCTAGTGTCTACTTTCTATGCAGAGATAGAGTTGAGCTAAATTATAAATACAGATAGAGTAATTGTGACGCACTATTGTGCACATGTGAGAGGGAGAGAAAGAGAAGAAGGGAGACAGACAAATAGTTCCCCTGCCTGTGGTGCAGCTGGTATACGTTTATATAACTGTCAATACCTATGTGTTCGGCAGCGTTTGCTCACGTGCTTGCTTACTAGCTAGCTCGTTTCACGTGTTAACTTCCCATATAAGGCGCACTTAAGATAGTTTCACTTAAAAAGTAATTGTCAGCGTTGCTGCATGTATTTGCACTCCTTTTGCCACTCTGATCTTTTTCCTGACTATCTATGTAACAAATATGCTTAAACCAAAGAATTATTTTGATTAGAAAGGGAAACTTGTTAAACAAATTAGACGCAATAAAAATAAAGTACTTTCTTTATAAGGGACATAAATACATTGTTAGTAGTAAGGGTACTATTTTTCCAGACACTCTCATAGAAATATGTCATATGGCTGGCGGCAAGAGCGGGGGCGTGGCTGGGGTCCTATTTTGGCAGGCCACGTGATCCTGCGTGGGTAGCCAGTATACGCGGAAGAGGGCACGCGGTGACCCCGCGTAATTTAAATATTATTACCGACGTTGCTTGGCTGGTAACAATTTTTTTTTCTTATTACTGGTTTTAACATTAATTATTTATTTACATATGCCGATTTGTGTTGCGATAAATACATTGTATTAAATGCATAATACAAATTAATAGTCAGATCTGTGTGTAACTTGAAAAATCGTAAATTAACCATTTTTATTTATAACTAACATATAACCTCATGAACTTATCATAAATAATTATCCTTCACACATAATGCAAATTTTAAAAAAATCCAAGTTTTTAGTTTGCCAAATCTGTAGTAAAGTAATTGACAAGTAATGAAATTCAAAAAAAAAATTACGTATACATTTTAAATTTAAATTCACAAAATTTATTTTATAAAAAATCTCTTGCTTTTGACATATCTATCCTTTTTTTATCCTAAAGGGTAGGTATACTCAGATACCTAAAACGTATAAATATCATAAAAATAAAAAAAATTAAAAAAAATAAAAAAAAGAATATGAAACGAGCTACATGCTACATTTCCATGCAAGTATATGTTAAGTGTTACCCAAATCCTGGTATATAAATGGCCAGACTACGAAAAAAGAAGTTAACATTAACTAAGTGACGTACAAGGAGAGTGTTAATGTTCATTAGTTCAAAAAAACACAGTATTAAAAAGTCACTGAAAGAAAAACTACGGCAAATGTTATTTACCACTACCCATCACCACTAAAAGATAAACAGAAAGATTTCTCAAAAAAAGTGCAAGATGTTTTGTTCATTATTGTATTTGCTGTTGTTTTTCTCTAATGGTTATTACCACAACAAACTAAAAATGTAAATTCAATTAGTTGTACAATAATTTTAATTACCTTCCCCCTTCCTAGGTACAAAAAGATTGTGCAAATGACCAATAATTTTCCTGGCATAATAATTCGAATCATCAGCAATAGGCTTAGGCACACATATTTTTGGTGAAGTGTACAAAGCTGACAGCCATTCGCAGTAAACGTTCACACAATCTCTGACTGTGTCGTGTTCTGTCAAAGGAAGAGATAGTCCAAAGCAAATGACTTCCATGCACCATTGGACTTCCTTATCCGTTATCAAAGGGCTTGCCTCAGCAGCTTGGGCAATACCAAGATTGGCTGCTAATTGACGAACTATTGACAGAGTCACATCCTTACCAACAACAGAATTAAATTTTTCCAACACACTTTGGCTGTCCTCTGATCCCTGCTGGATTAATATACTCAGAGATGCCCATTCTGAGTACATGTTGTCCCCTAAATCCTAAAACAAAATGTAAATAGTTATTAAATAGAAGAATCAATAAAAAAATGTTTTACAAAACTGATATGACAAAGCTACATGTCTCTAAAAACTACTTTGAATATATTTAATCGATTGTCAAATTCACAAGTATGTATGCAATGATAAAACAATAAATATTTGGACAAAAAAGATAACAAGTGGTAAGAAAACAATAAATTCACCAAAACATATACATAAATTAAAACTGCCTCTAAAAAATAATTTTAAAAATATTAGCTTCCAATCAAAGTACGTATCGTTATACATCCCGCTTTGTTTACAAAACAAGGCAATCTTGTGTGTATTATTTACGAGTCAAAGAGCATATAAAATAAAAAAACAATATTACCAAAGCCTTACCTTAAGGTTAACACGATTAAAAACGCCTAGATTCATAGATTATTTGCATGGACTCCTGGCTTCGTTCTCTCGTTATTTTTTTTTTTTTATTCCTTCACTGCAACGAATTCCCGTTCCCAATCATACTTAATTGGAGAAAAAAGGAGTCTGACACTTGCTTGCCTGCAACTTACTTCCCCATTCATGGCACATATAATTTTCACACGCCTCACCTTTATAATATTAAGTACCTAGGCGTAGCTATAGCACTCCTTTTTCATCTCTTCAGGATCGCGGGAATATTGTACTTTCATTTGATTTCTCTCTCACACGCTTTGTCGTCATTGTAAATTGTAACATATGTTTGTTATCTTGCGCCTTTTCTCAGTATTAGCTGATTGAAATAAAAAAAAAAAAAAAAAAACTGTAAAATAATTTTCATGAAGATCAATGTTTACACTCATTCTCTACTTTTATTTTGCAATCAAATGATTTTTCAAACAAATTTGTGGACGGTCTTGATATTATGTTGTGTCAATGTACATTATAAAATGAATATGGGAAAAAAATTGTTACATACTGATCGACTATTGTAATTTTAATTTTGCAATGAACTTGTAAAAAATAAATTTGAGCTCACAATAATTGACAGTCCAGCGCAATAATATATACAAACAAGCTCCGAAACTTCGATTTCCAAACGCAACTCCTTACAAATATATATATATGTGTGAATGTGAATCACACCTTCTACACACATATCAACATCTGTAGCAAGCAGAAGACGAAGAAGAGAGAACCGAAGAGTTCACACTTGGCGTGCTGCAGAACAGCATGCATGTATATATAAAAAAACTCTCGGGAGTGTACATTATATTTAACATGACGATAATTATAAATGTAATGAAGTGACCTCTTCATATACCAGTCGTCGATTCCTCATTTATAGCGCATTAAAATTTTCACGAAGTTAACACAGTGTTCCCAAACCAAAGTGTCTGCAAAAAGATAACAAAGTGAGGTTAGGAAGTGTAAATGTCTCATATGTATTATATATAGACACGTATTGTTGCACGAGAGTACGACGCCTACACCGAAAATAGATATACCTGGAGTATGTGCATACTTGTTCACGCACACTTTTAATGCTTTAGTTTTTGTGTGCGACTTGGAGAACTCCGGGAAGTCATATGCTTTGAAGAAGTGGGTGTAAGTACACTTGGTGGCTGCTACTCTCTACTCTCTTTGCTGTCTCATTACTTTACCTATACCTGGATATAGTACTTAGTATCAGTTAAGGAACTCTCTTTACTTGGCTTTGCTCTCTCCTCTCTCTATAGCCACAGTAGGACGAATTCACGTAAAAGAGATATATAAATATATACATAGAAGAAAGAGTGAGCATAAGGATACAGTTGCTCTTTTTTCTTCCAAAGGACGAAGCGGAGGCGCTCCGAAAGAGGTGTGCAGTGCTTCTGACTTCTGCTATGCTGTTGATGTCAATCATCAGTGCATGTACATACACACACTTATTTTTGTTTTAATGTCAAGTGCATCAGGTGCAGTTGTCAATTTGTCATCTATATATATATTTGTGTAGATCATTTTTCTTTTTCTTTTACTTGTACCTATAGCAGAACTTTATATGCTCTGATACATTAATATGGATGTGACGTGCGTTGCCCCCCTAAGTCCATATCATCATCACAATCATCACGCTTTTGACATATCTATCCTTTTTTTATCCTAAAGGGTAGGTATACTCAGATACGTGTCTTCGTCGCCGTTGTGTATATTTTTTTTTTTTTTTTGTGACTTTGCAGCGCGGGGGTTGACATGCTTGATTTTGAAAGTGTTTTTTTTTCGACTGTACACTAAAATACGCAATAGTACGAGATTTCTTAAATTACATCATTGTGGGACATTTTGGTGTCGGTTTTTTATGAGGTGTAAGGGGTTAATTTTGTGTTTTAAAGACGAAAGTTAGGTGATGTGCAATGTATTGCTGAAATGCAGCGGCTCTTTTTCTACCCTGCCCAGACACTACCCAAAATCAATACCCAACGCGTATATGACGGCTCTCTCGTGCGCCGTAATATCAGAGCACACTTATAAGTGTGCACGTATTACATACCACGTATAGATAGATGTGTATTACAGGTGAGAAGTAACTGTCCACTACATCACCACATTCTTCTTTTCTGTTAAATACTTATCTGTTCTGTAGCTCATTCAAGCCGTGATGTAATCTTGACAGGATTATTCCTTTAGATTCTTATCCATCATTAACCTGCCACTGTTGATTTAGTTTGAAATCAATGTACAAGTTTGTTGGCTTCTTTTTTACTTGGAAATTTTAATGCACTGTCGAATTGGTAATTTGATTTAGAAACACGAAGTGGGCTATTATTTGAGTGACATGATTTAATAAGTCAACGTGATATTTGCTCTTGCTGTGTGTTGCTATAAAAGAATTATTCCACTGGTTCTGATAAAAACAAGCTTTATTCAGCTTCATGCAACAATTGCATTTTAATTTTTTATTGATTAGGCACAATTGAACCATGATGTCCGATCGTAAAGCCGAATTAGAAAGGAAAAAGGCTAAACTTCAGGCCATCAGAGAGGAAAAAGAAAGAAGGAGAAGAGAAAAAGAGCAGAAAGATGTAAACAATTTTAAACATTTTTTTCGGGATGATAATTTGAACTAAGGAATTTCATAATTGCTTGATGTTACTATCAGGTGGAAGAGGCAAGACTTCGGGCCTCAAACACGAATAGAGATCAACAAAAAGAAGTTGATGCACTGTTGTCCTCTTTTGGTGTAGCTCCTGTTTCAGGTAATGTACATTGATACAACGAGTTGCATAAAGTTGCTGATTTTAGATGATACAGGTTGAATTGAAGGATAATTAATTATTGTACCACAAATTTGTTATTTCAGAAGTACTATCTAGTTTATCCAGTGCAAACTCCATAGCTACTCCAGAGCAAAGTATCAACGCAACTCCAGATGCCAGTTTACAGCCAAGTAGTATTAATTCAACACAGAGGTATACAAATTTTTTTTTAAGTAATTTTGACTGCATTGCGTAAAAACTTGAAAATGGCGTGAAAAAAAGTTTCAAGTGTACCCAATGCATAACAACTTAATAAATAATATGTATTAACATGAACAATTCGACGCAAACAATTGAACAGTGTGCCCAAAAAACGAAATCGCGAACTTACGATAGTATCGGTAGCCCACACGAACATTCCACCCAAAGAGCCAGTTGTCTACACGAAGCAGACGCAAACAGCGCAGGTTGTCCACGCGAGCCACGACGGTGAGTGCGACTTGTTTCATTATTTCTAATCTCACTTTATTTCTTCCCTTTTTACGATTCAAATGTATTCCCAATTACATCTAGATACTGACATAAATACAAATACGTCTTGGTATACTATAACAGAAAAGCAATTTTTTTATTTTTCTATCTAATGTGTCTTACTTGAATCCTTGATTTCTGTATTTACTATTTGTGAATTCCGTGATTTTACTGACAAACAGTTTAATTCTTTGATTGAATACTAATGTATGGAAAGATATAACAGCATATTTGTTTCTATAATTTAATATAATGTAATTTAATACAATAACCTGTCCCCTAATTATTAACATATCACTGNTAAAAAAATCTCTAGACAATACGTTGTTAACTCGTTCACTATAAATTCCTTACACTTAGTAACTAACGTTGCTACACTTTCGATTTGGTAAAGTCTTTCATCCACACATATGACAGATTGAGCGAGTCCTAAAAATGTACAGTGCTGCATACCAATAGTTAAATCGTACGTTTTTCTTTTTTTTTCCTATCAGCATCTTGTCCGTCACTGAATTCGTTTTTATCAAAAATAACTGATTTTTTTCCGTAAGATGATGTGAATACCAACTCGATATTCCCTACTTGTATGCGATCCATCTGACAGGTGTTTTTATTAGTAAAGTTATCATTTATAAAAGCAAAATAATCTTTCAGTTCGCTCCATACATATGCATTTATACTTACACCTCCTGTAAACTGACATTTTGAAAACTGCAATAAAAGCTCGAAACACTGAAGATGTATATTATAGTGAAGCCCAACGACGATTTTTTTCGTAGCCGTCTTGTTAAGTGGATACGAATGCAGTAATACCTTTGCAGTTTATATAATAGCACTTTCACTGTATCTTCTATTTTCATCAAAATATATGAAATCGGATCCTGACTTGTCACTATCACGCGTTAAAAAATATTTTTGTTTCTGTTTGAATTGATCCATTTTACAGATCGATGTAACGTTGTAAAATTTGAATCACTCGTGTTGTTTTACTTCACTTAAAAATTTAAAGAAATACCCGTTTGCGAACAGGGTGAATGTTACCTATGCAACCGTCGTTATCGATACCGTGAAGATGACTGACAGTCTAATAGAAAAGTGATACTTTAATGCTAAAAATTTTTATTTCTGCTGCACTCTCCCTCTCAGATTTATTGTCGATACATGATTCATAAGGATGTCCTATAGATAGTACACCATTTATGTTCATCACGTACACTGCTACGGAAAAACCTGCTAAAACATGCTTGAACGCGAGCTCAAACCTATATTTTGTCTTTCTTTTAGTCATCTGAGAAGTATTCGCGAACAAATGTAGGGTTTTTTCTCACTCTTTTTTCAAAATATGAAAGAGAGAAAGTGACGACGGTGGAAAATATGCAATTGCCCCTCAGTTGCAATATATTTATTGTCCCTCAGCTGCAATAATTTTAATCTTTTTCAAAACATGAAGAACTATAAGAAACAGCGGTGAAAGTGCCCGATTGTCCCCCTGGCAGTAATATTTGACGTCATACCTGTAGAGTTTCCCAGGCTATGACTTGAGTGATAGACCTATCTGACTGTGTATACCTTTTACTTTTATCATAATCTCGCTAAAATTTTGACCAAAGGGGAAAAGTATAGAAGTAGCTAAGGAAGAGAAAAAAACGTAAAAGAAAATAAGTCCTTATCCGACACTCTTAGCCGAATCACATCTTGCTGATACGTTACAATAACTTTCCGAGTTACAATTCGTTCGAGGTCTTCCTCAATTTACTAGAAAACTTAATACAGTGTATCTCTTGCATTTATTTAAACTTGTTTAAATTTTTGTAACAGTGTGTTTTTACTGTGGCATTGCTTTAGATTTTTTGGTTAGCTACAGAAATTTTTCTGAGTTCTTTTTGCGTTAATAAAAAAGTAAAAAAAAAAAAAAAATAAAAGGAAGCATCTATGGTCAGTGCTTTATTCGAAGTTGTCCGTTCGTGTGTGCGATACGCGACCATCGTGTCGGAAGATGCGCGTAAGGTGTACACCGACAAGCGGTTTCGTAACGTGCTACCTACATACTCCGTTAACGAGTTAATAGGAGTATTACAGGAGCTTTTTACCATTTATCTGGCGGGGAGGCACCCGGTTGCGTTGTACCCTCTGTATCTAATTCGTAGTCCCATAGCTATCCAAGCGGTGGTAGAGTGTCTACCGTCTAACGCTAGGAACATCGGGATGTTGAAGGAAATGTATAAGACGTACGATAAACTTGGTAAGTAATGTATTGTATTGTATTTTTTCAAAGTTTTTTTATACTTAAAAATTTTGCATGATCAGTAAAATTAAACGAAATCCTGTTTTAGTTACCAACATATGTTTTGAAGATTCCGAAAATCTTTCAAACGTTGATGGTGCACTTAAAAGAAAGCAGGAGGACCCCTTGGATGATGGTATGTCTGGACCGTCAGGGGCGGGCCTCTCTTATAAGAAGATAAAAATATCTTCAGGTAAATTAAAATCTTTTCGTACACGTCTTTTTTATATCATTCATTTTAACTTTCAAAATTATATTCATTTCAAAATATTACGTAGAAAGCGAAACTGACCGCCAGCAGGAGGAGGTATCCGAACCGATGCCCGGTCCGTCGGGGTTAACTATGATGCGTTACACCCCTGCAGGTAACTAATAAATTTAATATTCAAGTTTCTCAAACACAATGTATAACATTTTAATTATAATTGTAACATATTTTTATTTTACAGATAGAGTTGATGGGATTGATAGTGCTTATATCGAACAACAGCAGGAGCAACCCCTTTATCATCAACATGGAAGAGGTGTTGCAAGCGTTGCCGTGCAAACAGAGGATGAACTGGACACGTCAATAGGTACAAAATACATTACTTTGGAAAGCGATACAAAAAAATTTGTAAAATCTTTTAAAACCACTTGTCGCGCAATAAAATTTAAAATTACCAACCCTTCCAATGCAGCGAATACTTTAGATTGGATCAAGAAAGCTTTTCAAGAACTTATAACTGTTATTAAAAAAAATTACTCTAGTAATTTTCTTGTAGGGATAGATTTGCACTCAGACGCGTTGACTGAGGGATTGGCGGGTATCTATTACCAACTTATTATTGATCAAATAAATTTTCAAGACATCTGGGGTCTATGCGAAAAAATTGAACAAAGCAAACGAATAATCGACATCGCGGAAACTTTAGTAGTTGAGGTTACATACGTCAAACTCACTCAAGGGTGGGGTGCACAGGAAGATATTATAAATAGTTTGAGTAAAAAAGGCGTCTAAGTAATAAATAATAGAGATAATCTATGTTTAGCTAGGGCTCTTGTATGTGGTAAAGTTTTGACTGCGAAAAATTGTTCGTCAGATTGGTCCCAACAATGAAAAAAAATTAAAACCGAAAATGAACAAAAGTCGGAAGCTATTAAATTAATGCAAGAGTGTGACATTGGAATAAATAACGAACAAGGATATGGATATGTAGAGTTTTCGAAATTTCAGCGATATTTTGAACAACATAATATATGTATTCGGATATTTGAATATGAGTCTTTTGGTGATGACACAGCTCTTATATACGATGGTGCTAATGACGGAGCAGTATATTGCACATCATTTATAAACATCATGTATTATGAGGACATAGAGCATTATAAATTAATTAAAAATTTATTAACCGTCAGATCAATGTATTTTTGTGCAACATGCAATAAAAATTACAAGCGTGTGGGTGAGCATGTTTGTAAATCGGTTTGCCCTGCATGCAATGGGTCGCCAAATTGTAATAACACCAACGATACGTTAAAAAATCTTGCACTGATTGTAGGAGGGAATTTTACGGAGATCAATGTTATAATAATCATAAGATAAAAGGGTCATTTGTGCGTACAAAAAATCACAAAAGAGCGACAAGAAGCATATGCGATGTAGTTAAAATATGTAATTCATGTGCCAAGCTCATAAACTTAGCTAAAGGTAAGCATGAATGCGGAAAAAAATATTGCAAAGAGTGTAAAAGCGTTTATAAGTTTAACACGCTTTGTAGTATGTAACCTATTACGTTCAAGAATAATTTAAATGCTAAAAAAAATTGTTTCATTTTTTACGATTTTGAAACGCGACAAGATAAAGAATTACGTGATACAGCCAACACGTGTGTACACATATCGATCCTTTGCGTGCTGCAAGTACGATGCCATGCGTATATAGACGAGATAGAAGAGAATCCCCACGCAATTTGTCCCTTCTGTGGTATTAAACAGATTATTCTCGAGGGTGAAGAGTGTCTAAAAAATTTTGTTGATTTTGCAGTAAGATTTGAAAGTAAAACTTTCGCTTTATTTATCTGTATAGCTCATCACTCTAAGGCTTTTGATGGTCAATTTATATTATAATATATTATAGATAATAAAAAATGTACTCCCGAGATTATTCCTAATGGGCGTAATATTATTCTTATGTCCTTAGGAAAAACTAAGTTTATAGAAAGTTTAAATAACCTACCCATGAAATTGGCTGATTTACCAAAAACGTTTAGTTATGCAGGAAACATAAAAAAAGGGTATTTTCCACATTTATTCGTTTCGAGCGATAAAAATTATAAAGGTCCTTATCCAGATTCTCACTCCTACGCGCCAGATTCTATGAACACCAGCGATCGCGCAAAGTTTTTAGAATGGTACCATAAAGTAACTTCAGACGTAAACGCGCAGTTTGACTTTAAAAAAGAACTCGTTGAGTATTGTGTGCAAGATGTTAAAGTATCACGTGAAGCTAGCACGGCTTTTCGAAAAATTTTTATACAAGTCAGAAAAGTAGACCCCTTTGTTGAAAGCGTGACAATAGCAAGTGCGTGTTCCGTACTATACAGAAAAAACTTTTTAAAAAAAGATACAAGTGAGATTATTCCAGCAACTGGGTATACAAACGGAGGGCAGTTTTCTAAAAAATGCATCCACTGGCTTTTGTGGGGAGAAAAAGTAAGGAATGTAGAGATCATCCATGCAGGTAGATCGCGAGAATATCGTTAAATAGAAGGTCTCCTCGTTGATGGTTATTTAAAACCTCAAGTAGAAACAATGAATCCAAAAGGAACCGTGTTTCAGTTTCATGGGTGTTATTTTCATGGTTGTATTCGCTGTTTTCCTAACGATCGATATCAAAAATTGAACAATAATGAAACTTTCACCGACCGATACGAAAATACTATGAAAACAAGTTTTGAAATAAAAGAATACGGTTACGAAGTGATTGAGATGTGGGAGCATGATTTTGAAAAATTTATA